CGGGCCGCGCGCAGGAGAACGTCCTGCCGCGTCCCGGGAGGCGCACAGTTCAGTATATATAATACACAGTTGCAGTAGCTTTTTGCAAAGCCCCAGGCTCCTCACGAGACATGCAGGTCAAACACTTGTAAGAGAACAACTGTTTTTCTCCTTAATAATCTCTGAACAGGGCTCACGGAGCAAGTTATTTGAAAAAGACAGTATTAATAAAAAAGCCATTAGTGCAAACAAATTTCCTGTTACATGTCTTTTCAGACCTCGAGGATAAAGTGTTTAAGCAGTTTATATTGTGAGAGATGGCAGAGAGAGAAAAAAAATTATACTGTATTAAAGCAGTGACTTCAGTGGAATTACAACACAAACTACTAAGACTGATGGAAATCTGTGCTGCAGCTCATAGGGGAAATCAGACTATATTACCATGGAGCCTTAAAAATAATAATAATATTAATAATAGTAATAAAATCAGGGAATCAAAATATTTGTGGATGAAATAGCAAAGGAGAGCTAATGGGAAAGGTAGAGGAAAGTTAAGAAAGGAAAGCTAATGGAACAAGAGGAAAAAATGCAGTTTTGAAGAAATACTGACGTTTTATCAGCCTAGCTAAGGTGGTTATTCTGCTTGTGATCCCAGATGTGCTGGTCTGGCTTGGGTACCTGCTGGAGCAAACGCATCTGACACTGACTGGGATTATTTATAAGTGCCACAGACATGTGAAACTGTTGATCTCAAGTTAGTTATTGAAATCCCACCTCAAGTGTTATACTGGGGGCAAACCAGTGCTGGTGTTTACGGGTGTAAATGGGACCACAAACACTTACATCAACGAAGGGTTCACCCCATAAATCATTAGATGCAGATTCCAGGGGTCAAATTTCCTTAAATAACTACACCAACTTGTTAGGCAAAATTAAGAGTGCTCCTATATATTAAATGAATATATAGCTAATGAACAAGGACTAAAATAAAATCATTTTTCTTTTATATCCTTAGGATTTACTCTAAAATCAGTATAAAGCAGTATCCCTCTTACTGCAGGGATTACATAGGCAGACCTAAATACCAAGCACATGAGGTTTTACTCTCTGTAACTTCAGCAAACATATTTGCCATGGGTGAAGAGGAAGATGTGAACCTACAGGATCAAGGTACAGTTTGTGGCAGCCCCTTCTGCTGCACAGAGGAGCGCCGAGAAGACCACACGGGGCTTATCAGAAAGAGAGCCCGAGGTCTACAGAGAGGCTGGAGACAGGGACCATTCCCAGCTCCAGCTTGTTGCTCTTAGTGGTATTTTCCTTGTGCCAAGCAAGGACCTCAGTTTCTTCCCAGATCTAGTATTAATTTACTGTATTTTCTAGAAGATGATAATGAGAGGCAAAAACAGAGCCCTGAGGCATACACATTTCTGAAGAATGTCCTTGTGAACTGCAAATAGGCTTACCAATTACTGTACTTCAAAAATATGGATCGTGTTATTTTCTGACCTGTGGTTGCCTTCAAATCCCTTGCAAGCAGGGCCACTATCTTAGGCTATTTTAAACAGCAATACGGAGCTATCAAATCAGAATATGAAGCTGTAGCACTGAATTTGGGCCAAATGCATCCCTCTGCAATAGAATTGTGTTTCTTAGATGGTAGATGAATAAACACAGATCAAAAAGTGCTCAGAGTCCTTTCAGAGAGGACCAAGTGAAAATCCTTCAGTAGACAGTGAATCTTCATGGCAAATATACTCTGTCAGGTTTAGTACAACCATGAGAAATTATTTACTGAATAGGGGCAGATTACTTTCATTCCTAAAACAGTGAATAGCACACGCATTCTTCCAGCTGACAGAAAAAAGCACGGAATAGCTGCAGTCCATTTCCTCTTGATTCACAGTTGCAAATGATCAGAGTTCACAGAAGAGCTCTCTCTTCAAGAGTAAAGCAGAAACATCCAGTTGCTAAAAGTACAGATCTCGTCTTCTGTCGTGTGTCTGTACACCTGAAAGACACAGCAGCGTCAGGAGCGTCGAACAGCACATGCCGTAAAGTGTTGTGCAAACAGAACTGCACCTCTTGGCCTTCTCTGATGCAACAAGGCCCTAACCAGAATGACCAGAATGACCCATCATGTCTCCCCAAAATATTGCACACTGAAGCACCAGCGTCAGCGTAACAAACACCAGCTACAGCCTCAAGAGACAAAAATAATAATTTCCAGAGCCTGAATGGTCCTGAATGCTGAATGAATTCAGGCTTTTTGCAGTCGGAATGCTCCTGGAATCTCCTCTTAAAAGAAGAGCTCTGTTAGTGTGGTGGATTTGCTGGTAAACAGGGCAGTAACGCCAGAACAAGCAGGGAGCTCAGCCTTGACGTGGACACTGGGGAGTCAAGGCCATGAACTCCACCAAGCACAGGGTGCCCTCGGGAACTCTGCCCTGGGGACATGTGGCAAGCACAGACCCTGCGGAGCCCCTGCTTGCCCCTTGGCAAGCACAGAACCTGCGGGGCCCCCGCTTGCCCCCTGGCAAGCACAGGTGCCCTTGGGAACTCTGCCCTGGGGACATGTGGCAAGCACAGAACCTGCGGGGCCCCTGCTTGCCCTTTGGCAAGCACAGAACCTACGGAGCCCCCGCTTGCCCCCCGGCAAGCACAGAACCTGCAGAGCCTCCGCTCGCCCCTTGGCAAGCACAGACCCTGTGGAGCCCCTGCTTGCCCCCCGGCAAGCACAGAACCTGCAGAGCCCCTGCTTGCCCTTTGGCAAGCACAGAACCTGCAGAGCCCCCGCTTGCCCCTTGGCAAGCACAGAACCTGCAGTGCAGCGGAACATTAGGATTTCACTGGCGGTGGAGCCAAGAAATGTCTTTAGTTAAGATTATGATAAAATCTTGCATTTGGTAACTTTCTGGGATCTCAACCTGGGGCGGACAGTGCCAAATAGGCACGTTAAGTGCTAGGCAGTGGTACCACTACAGACACTAAGACAGAAGGGGTTAGAAAATGTATCTTAATGAGAAGTTAGAAAATATATGTTAATAGATTTTTTTCCTTTTTCCTGTGAATATAAGTACAGGAGGCCATGTGTATGCTTGCGGGAAAAGCAAGTGTTTGAGATGCAGTGCCCAAGCAGGCCAGCAAGAAGCTGTAATTCTGTACAAGAAAGGGCGCTATTCTTCACAGCTGATACTTATTTTGCCCAAACCTCCCAGTTTCAGAACTCACCTGCGGTGGCGTGGCTTGCACTGGGGTTTTCTGAGCCTTGGTAAGAGCTTGCTTTCCTCTCTTAAAAGATAAAATACTGAAGATGAGCAGAGATTGAACACAGAGCTAAAATCAGACTGCAGTTCCTAAAGAAACCTTGTGCTTTTGCAGCCCAGCCTGCAGCACAGGTGCTGGGGAGCTCTGTGCTGTCTGGCATGGCAGTATATCCTTCTGTAAATATAAATATCAGCTGTTCTTAAACATGACACAGTGCAAGGAAAAGTATATTTAACAGTTATAGCCAAGAAGCAGGGACTCCAACAGCCGGACTAGACACACACATCCTAGGGAGTTGCCAGACTCCCTGGGAACAGGGGCCAGTCACTTATATATCCTGTTGCCTGATAAGCACGTGTGCAGTGTTACACGTGTAGTGCTATGAAGCTCTTCAGATGCTCAGAAGGGCCTTGTAAATGTCCTGAAATGGAAGATTTTACACAGCGATAGTTGAGGAACACCAAGCTTTTCTTTTTCTTTCTTTAAAGATTTTTTTTTGCATTCAGCTTCTTCCTGATATTTTGAACAAAACTCCATTGCTTTAGTACCATTTCCCAAGCCCTGAGAGGCTTCTGTTGTCTTGCTTGGGGTAAGGTGCCATTTAACCTTCTTAATTTAAGTCCTAGAATTCTAGGTGGTGTCCTTAAAGAAATCAGATTGTCATTTAATAACTGGAAACAGTCGAGGGTGTCTGCAACACATACACTCTCAGCTAAATCCATCTGCCACGGCAAAAATATATGTATTCCAGCTGAAGATACACTCTGCACTTTCCACGCATGGGCGCAGACAAATATTGCAAACTACAGCAGAGGTAGGTTAGCAACATACCATAAATTCAGTATAGCCTTACAAGGGAAGCTATGGGTAAAACTGCATGCAGATGTATTTTAGCGCGTATTTTGCCTAATTCTTGATAATGGAGATTAGAAACCAGCTATTTCACAGCTGGTCATTTTTCAAACCTTGCTTCTTCAAATATTGCTTCTTCACACGCCTCGTCCTTTTATCTAGAAGCACCAGTCAGGATGTTCTGTATTTTTCCAGCAGACTCCCTAACACTTTCGCAACCCTGTTCCTTGGAGATCATTGCCAAGGTGATTACGTGGATAACGCCCCAAAACAGCAACGCTGGCAACCCCTGGAAGCGCCCGGGACGGAAGCCTGATCCCAGAGAGCTTCCTCAGTGAGAAATTACTTGTAAGGGAGCAGTTTTATGCAACAATCCTAGATTTTTGGAGATAGACGTTCTTGGGAACTAACTTGGGCTTTAATCTGTTAGCACCCATCAGTGCTATTATTTTTGCTATTATTAGTATTTTGATGGGAAAGCAAACTCAGTGCAGTCACCAGCCACCTCTTTTCTGTGTGCTGGCAGCAACTACCATTGCAATTCCTAGTAGCTGTTAATAAACAAGCAAAAATAAAAGAAAAACTCCTGTATCAATTGCATTATCTCTGGCAAGTCAACTGCAGAAAGCAAGCACAGAGCAGCAGCATTTCATGGGAAAATGCTGAAAGAAGCTACCTACAAGGTGTAAATCCTGCCAGCACTGAATAATTTTACATTCACTTGAAATATCTTCATAACATAAGCCAGAAAAGAAAGAATTGTACTAACTGGCACTAGCACTAACTGTACTAATGGACAAAAACTTTCTATGCACTAGGCTGAAAATAGCTGTTTTTAACACCTTCAGAACACAGTGTATTATTTTTTCTCTTTACGTAAGATGTCATCAAAGAATCAAGCGATAGCAAATATTCCCTTACCTCCTCCAGGAGTCAAACTTTGGCTTACATTTTGTAACCTAGCAGGTCCAGTAGTACAAGCAGAACTAGCGTGTTGCTTCACGGCACATTCCTGCATGGACGTTAGGCACCTTTCCTGTTGCAGGAGACCAAGAAGAGAACCGTATTTCCTGTCGGAGACGGGATCCTCGGCCACGTGCAGGTCAGGCAGGGCATGGTGATACACGGAGCTGGAGAGACCGGGAGAACCGACGGAAGGGAAGGGCCACAGACCCGCGGGCTGGGCCGGGTGGCCCCGCAGAGCCGGCGGGTGGTGCTGGCCGGCCGTGCCGGCGGCCGCGGAATTCAGAGCGGGATTCGACATGCCCGTAGCAGACGACGACGGATACGGCTTGGAGCAATGTGGAGGGTAATTCCACTGCTGGGGAGACATGCTGTCTAGTTTAAAGAAAGAAAAAAAGATGGGGGAAAACAAAAACAAGGAAAAAAGATTTGAAGTCCCATTAGTTCTTTTATTTCAACCCAAATTCCGATGGACTTCTAAGGGAAATCTACAAGGTTGCATATTCATTTGAAAGCATGTGTTCACTTTAGCAACGCTTATCTTTAAAAAACAATAATAAAATACATACTAAAAGTGGACTAAATCACCACTATCAATATTTCAAATAAATATTACCAATAAATTTTTAAAAGACGGCTGACACTAGCAAGGTTTTAATAATTGCAAGCTTAGACAAATATCTTCTTGCAAAGATGGCAAAAAATCTAATGTCATAATGCATTTATTGCATCTGAGGCGATAGAGGCTCTTGGCTGGAAGGTAAGAGCCTGGTCCTGCTCCAGCTCCGTAACTCGGCAAACGCAGGGACCCCGTTGGGACCCAGCTCACCGTTCCGCAGGGCGACGGCCTCGCTCCTCTGCTTCGTGCTCAGGTCCTGGGGGTTTTTGGCATTGCTTAGAGCTCTAGAGAAATGTTCATCTACCACACTGTTAATGTCCCCTTGGAAATACGTAAACACAACACACTGGGATCCCCATTCAGTTTTCACAGGTTCTTTGCTTTTGCACGGCTTTGGAAAGAGCTTCCTTGTTTCTTCCATTTTCAATAATCACCAGCGCCTGCCAAAAAAACCCAGACTCATAAGGGAAGTGCTCTTCAACCACATTCTGTGAGCCTATCTTCTTCCAGAAACTGGCAGACCAGAAGAACTGTTATTAGTGAATTAGATTTTTTCATCTGGACTTTACTTTTTCCATTCTCCTTTTCTTAAATGTTTTCCTATTGCATACTTCTAATGTGAAATAAGTATTATACAAAGTGAGAAAACTTTCAATTTAACCCATGCAAAAAGTTATTGTTTGCTAGTTATTTGCAAATTTGGCCCCACTGTACCATGGGCGGCTTTAGTAAAGGATAACTGCATCTTGAGAGCAGTGACTCGAAGAGGTGCAGGGTTATGAAGGACATGGGCCTTGCACAGGTTGCCTGTCAAAGCCATAGCAGGTGTTGAAGAATAAATTGGACACATTTATCCACCAGCTACCACTTCTCACCCCCATTTACCCAGAGTTTAGGAGCAAAACCTGCCTGAATGGATGCAAAGTTTGCAAAAAATGGTTAAGCACTTAGGCAGCTAACATGGGCTGCCCAGAAGTAATATTATTAACTCTGGATAAAAGCCTAGGCAAACTTATCAAAATATACTATCTAATTCTGGCTTCCGTGTTGAGAAAAAAAATATTGACAGAGTGAAAACAAGGTTTAAAGGAGAAAAAAATATTTGGAGCTAAAAATAATCCCTCTATTGTAAAGAAAGAATGAATAAACTTTGGACAAGGGAAAGTTTGAAGTACCTTGATCGCTGTTAACACACACCTCCACAAGGAAGAGACTTCTGAGGGTAGTTACTTATTTCACCTATTAGAAAAATAGAAAAAAAAAAGATATTCCAAGTTTAAATCACTGGAAATGCAAACTATAGCAAGTTCAGGTAAGTAAAATACTGCTTTTAAAGAAACAAGAACAACAAAAAACCCTCCCTGGGAACATGATGGGCTTGTTAGTTAAAACTTTGGTGGCAAGACTGCTAACACATGCTGCAGCTCCATGTGAGGTTACGGGGGTTTGGTTTATGGCTGGTTTTATCATGCAAAAGCTAATGAGCTGTTAGGTTTGTGTTTCAATCCATCCAGCCCTGTGATCATCAGAGATGTTTAACCCATTCCCCTGTATTTTGTTTGATTTTGCTGCTGTTGTTTCTCAACCATAACGGCTCCATCCTCAGGCACTTCCCAGTCAACATCACGCTCATCCGTTTCTCTTCGGAGCGTTTTTTGAAGCATCTGCAGGAGCTGCCTCCAAATTGTCTCTCAGTGTTTCTTAAGCGTGAAAAGAGTGTTCAGGCTGCAATCTCAAACTCTTGGATGTTGGGAAATAGGGGGATTAGGATTATCAAACATGGCTCAGCAACCTTTTCATGACTGAACTTTATGATCCAATCACTGATTTTATCATTCGCTTCTACTTACAGAACTCCCAAAGCGGGGTCAGAATCTCTCTTCCCTTCTTACTCTTATTTTTCCTTACTTTCTGCTATCCAGCCATCTAAACTCACATGTACCCACCTGCTGGGATCCTTCCATCTCCAAACTTTTCATCCGTTTTTATAATTTACTTCCATCCATACTCTACACTTTCCCCTGTATTGTGCCCAGTTCTAAACCCCTCTCATCAACAACAGATTCATGTTCAGACTCCAGACCCTCTCAGGCCTCCTCTCAGGCTTCGCTGCTTTGCTTTTCCTGCATCTTTCCATCTCCTGTCCATCTGGACGCAGCGGTACAGGGGGCACTATCCCAAAGGGTATGGGGAGAGCGGGAACGAATACATCCCAGCCAAACAACTGGGAGAACTCCGAGCACAGGAACGGACGTGATGGTTTTTTTTCTCCCGGTCTTGTGTCAGAAAACAATATGCTCTTTATGTTGGGAAACCTCTTGGTTGCTCAGCTCGAGGCAGATGCTTGCCATGGAAAATTCCAATCCGAGTGCAGACAATTTTGCCAGACTTTCATCAACCACACGGCAAGAAGGAAAAACATCAGGTGATCTCAACAAAAAGCAGCAAAAAAGCTCTTCCTATACCGCTCCAGCACTACAAATAAACGTGCAGTTTAAAAGCATTAGCTCTGGCCCAAAAGACCGTCCCTCTCGTTCCTCGCTCACTGCAAACCAGCCAGTGTCTTTATATTGCGTTATTAAGGTGCTTAACTTGCCTGACATTAATGGTAAGCTCCTTTATCATTGCTTATTGGTGTGTACTCGTTGTTACACTCCTCTCCTTTTGCAAGTTGTGACAACTGTAGAGTGGCAATTTTAGTAAAAAAAAAAAAAAAAAAAAGGCATTTTAAAGCAAGAATGGCAATTTGTCCATTCCTTCCAGCTTCCCCTGAAAGCCTCCTGTGCTTTCCAGGGGAGAGCTGAATGTAACAGGTAACATCTCAGTTCTTCGATGAACCATATGCCAATGTCGCAGGAGGGAGGACTTGGCTTTGGAACACTGCAGTTTTCATTACCTGAACTTTTCATTTGCCAGCAGGAAGTCTACAAATAAAAAGGCAGATGCCCCCCCAGCCAGTGCCCGCTACAAGCGACTGCCAAAACCTGCTTGGAAGCAGAGCAGTTACCATGGAGCACCCAACGACCCTTAAAGTACTCTAGAATAGGGCAATTACGGCAGAAGTGTCAGTTATTTGTCCTTCGCTGGGCAGGAACGCGCAGTCAACACGACCCGCAGAGCCCCACGTTGGACCGCTCGCCGTGGGCGGCAGCGCCATAGAGCCTCTTCCACCCATCCAACCCTTGTTCCATGACAAGAAGTCAAGCACTTTCAAGTACTAGGTGGAACTCTATGGGTAGACCTGCTCCTCCGTTAAGGATCTTCTAGGTAAGGGAGTATGGGACTAATTTAACTCACTGAGCATGTACTGAATTTCTCATTTAATTCTCTTACCTTAGCTCGCTGCCAAGAGCGCGGTCACACTGGTGGCATCTTCCACATGCCGGATGGTCATCGCGGTGCCCGGCAGGCTGTGATCCTCCTCCCGGGTGGATTTACGCTCTGCGTTCATGAGCTCCCCACGAGCTCTCCAGCCTCCAGCTGTGACTGAGCTAGGCGTTTCCTGCAGCTTAGCTACTAAGAATGCATGAAATGCACTCCAACAAGTCAACCAGGTTGGGAGGTTTCAGGAATGAGGAAAATAAGATTTTAAGTAGGGTTTTTTTTTTAATGACAATGTGTACACAATCAAGACAACAATGTCTGGACTTCGCAGGAGTTTACAGTAAAATGGTAAACAAATCATGGTGAAGAATCAAAACAGCAACTTGGCCAAGGTCAAAACAAACTTTCCTACGACAAGTTATATTACTTTCAGCATTAAGTGCGTAGCTAGAAATGCTTGTATGAGGGAAAAGGTCATTGCCTCCATCTCAGATAAAACGGATAACCAATTTTGCCTCTTCTGATCTGTTGTAATCACTACATACATCTTCAGAGAAGAGGAACAAAACAAAACAACCATCACTCTATATAAGTGATAGCAAGAAACAAGGATTTTGTTTTTTTTAGTTAAGTTTACCAAAACACAATTGTAGCCATTCCAGAAATGGCAAATCAGTCAGATTCACCAGTTTCCCTGGGAAATACACTGTGAACTGGATTCACCAACCTGGCAGGGACTTTTCCTTACATCTCTTTTCTCCAGTGTCTTACAAGTTGGTTTACTCAGGCACTCAAAGTAGAAGAGTGCAATTCCATTCTGCCCCAATGGCATCAATCTGTTCTCTGCCATCTCCCGGCAGAGCAGCTTAACCTCCAGGCCATAGGATTTTTCAGGAGAGTGTTCAGTCTTTTACTGGCATATAATGCATATTTTTGCATAAATACATTTTAATTCAGTGATGAACTGGAATCTGTCAGGTAAGTGCATCAGACTAGAACCATTCTCTTTGATTCCCCCCTTTAAAATCTTCCTCTCCATTAGAAAAGAAAAGAAAAAAAAAAAGGCAAAAATGTGTTCTGCTGAATGCAGGTTTCGTTCAAGCGTTTCCTTTCGGCTGGCAGTTACCGCACTATGGGGCTGCAGACCGCGTGTTCTAAGGACAGCCCCGCGGCGGACGCTTCCAACACCCCTGGGCATTGCCCTGCA